TGAAAGTTGAGCTACATTTAAAAATTGGGAGTTTTCACATAATAGAAATTAAATCTTGGAACTTTTATCATTTCTCATGGTGAGCATCAGCTGGCACTGAGTAGCTTCTGCCCCCTAGAGATGTCCTGTGCTTTCCAGGTCATGTGCACTTCCATTGTTCAGCCTCGTTGTTTGTCAGTTTGCAATAGATTTTCTTTGTAATGGAGAAATATTTCTCTGTACCTATGCTTCTAACAAATGTTGGAATACATCACTTAGGCCACAAGGGCTTCAAATTTCAAAACAAATGGGGGAAAAATTTTTTCTTTGTGAGAGCAAAGGACATTCCTAGCATGCAATGTGCAAGCACAACATGTCCGTTTCGAAGGAGCCACCTCTCCGAGTCCCCTGCCTCACGTTACCTGCCTGTCCTCCAGGCACCTCGTTCATATCCCACAGGGGACTCCTCAGAGCAGCAGAAACACACAAGGGTGAATGCACAGAAGCTCAGGTCTTTTAAGATCCTTCTATAGAGATTAAGTCAAGGTCTGTGAATTTACTTCCAAAAATGCATCTTCCTTCTTTATCCTATGAGGAAAGTTTTCTCGGTATATTTCTACTCATGTAATAACAATAATTGTTATTTTTGAAAAGATCTGGTATAACCTTGGTTTATGACTCGAAGTCTCCCATTAAGCCCTCTATCTTTTCTTTTTAAGCCCACACTAATTTTCTGTTATTCAAATAATATTAAATGTACAGTAAACAGTATATAGGTAACACAGTATGTAAACAATTGAAAGGAAAATAACACATTTAATTATAATCTAATTTGTGTTGAATGGTTTTGTGTCACAGAGAAGCACAGTACCATGTTTTAGTTAGCCTAAGGTATGTGTGGTGGGGATCAGGGGGTTCATTCCCCCAAAACCATTGCAGAGCTGGATATAAGCTGCTTGGAAATTTTTTGCTGATCGAATCAGTGATTGAATTCCAAATTTTGGTTAATACCCTACTTACTTGTACAATCTCTACTTTTTCTCATTATTTTCATGAGCATTTGGGTCCCAGCCCTCCACTGCCTTCGAGAATCACCCTCTAGGGAATGACTGTTTTACTGAACAACAGTGACTTTAATAAAGTACCACGGCAACTGGTGGCCACGTTAATTAGAACTGAGATCTGACACATGCCTTTGCTTTACTTCAGCAATTTCTCTGCTCCTCAAAAGAGCTGTTAAGAACAACTATTTCAAGTGGCTAAACCACTTTGGGTAAAGCAATAGCCTGTGACTGGTAGCAGTGTGAGTGAGTGTGTGTGTGTGTGTGTGTGTGTGTGTGTGTGTGTGTGTGTGTGGAAGCAGGAGGAAGAGAGAGAGGGCACAAGCCAGAGGCTAGTGGAACTATGACATTTTCTAGATTAGTATTGACACATTTTAGCCTCTTTCTTTTCAGAAAAATAAAAACGGCCAACTCAACAGACATTTTTCCTTTTCTACTTTTTTTTTTTTATAAGGATCGACTCGATGGATATAATTGTAGTGTTACGTTTGGGAGGCACTGACTTTTAAAAGTGCAAATAATTACAATGCTCTTTTGAACATGCATGCGAACAGCTTCGCTTTCACGTAGAGACCCTAACTTGTGCCGAAGGTATATAAGTGACTATACATTTGCCCCTACTTTTCATATTTCTTTTAATGTAGATACAGAAACATCTTTTTTTTAATCAAAAATGTAACAAAAATCTTTATCAAAAATGTAACAAAAATCTTTTTTTCCTTCATCTTTGTTTACCACCTTCACAATCTAACATGGAGAATGTGAGGGAATACGGATACGTATGTCATTTCTTCTGGTCAGTAGGCAATTTACTGCTCTACAAACAGAGCTGAAAGACTCAGGAGAGCAGATTTAAATGCCATAAAGCAGAAGAGATGCTTCAGGAGTTTGCTGTGGAAGAAAGTCAAAGTATGTTACAGATTCTGTTCACACTTTGAAAATATTGGAAGGGTCATGTTGAAGTGTCAAAGATGTAAATACATACTACCCAGTTTATTCAACTTACTAAGTGATCAGTACGAGTTCATTGTGGACTGTCTCATTGTTTTGTCTTCTTTTATATCATAGATTCTTCATCCTTTGCCCACATTTTGAAATGATTGGATTCCCCAGTGCCCAATCTCAGTTTTCTTCTCATTGCAGTTTCCCGTTCTCTTAGTTCAGAATCTTCTAGTTTTAACCATTCCAATGGTCCTTAGTCTCCATCTCTAATTCCACTAAATCTCTTCACCTCCAGACCTGTTATTCCAACTCTCTACTACCTTCTCGGTTAGATGTCTCGGAGCACTTCCAACTTAAGTCGAAATTTAAGTCCCAACTGACTCATCTCATTTGACTGCCTCCCAGTCAATGGCCTCCCAGTCACCTATGCTTGGAGCCATGGAGTCAACATAAGACCTTTCGTGATGAAACTGAATTACATTATACTTATCTTTAAAAATTCTTTAGATGACTATAAAATATCCACCACATAATGTTCAACACCGAACCATGATGTGGCAGATACTGTCCTTTGCTTATGCAATATCATCCCCCCCTTATCCCTGCAAACAGACTATTGATTTCATTTCCAGGTACAAGGAAGAGGCCCCTTGATTTAAGAGAAAGAAGGACCTTCTATAAGCCCCTAAAAATCCCATTTCCATTCATTCAGCAACTGGTCCAGAAGACATGTTCTCTAGTTCTGACCAACTAAATGGAGGGAGAGGCCACTGGGGTCTGACATGCCCAGAACTGTCACAGTCAGCCATGATTATGAAAAAAAAAAGAAAAAAAAATCAAGGTAAGCAGAACAGAAGAGGTAGAAAGATAGAAAATTTCTGGGTCTTTAATGACTCACTTAATGGTTGCAAAACCCCAATAGTGCCTACTTATCTTCAGATTGGGTGCTATACGAGCTAACATTACATAAGCCACTGCTAACTAGTACTTGGTGCCTAAAAGCATTTCTGTCTACTACACGAGGTTCTTCAGAGTTCTCACGATCTGGCCCCACCCTACTTTATAGCTTTTTCAGTCCACCTTCCCCCACCCTTCACACCAAACACAACAGGTTCCATCCACAGCACTTTTGGTTTTCACTCAGAAGGCAGACTTCCTCCTTCTCTGTCTTCTTGTGAGCAGCCTTAATATTTCAAGCTCTAGGTCAAATGTTGCATCCTCAAGTAATTATTTTTTTATCTACCTAAAGCCCCTGATTATTCTTGCCAAAATCATACTCTCTCACAAAAAATCAATCGAATTTTTGTTTCGCATATTATTTGTGTATAATGCATTACATTTTAACGATCCATCTGTCTGTCTTGCACTTGACTTCGATCACCAAAATGTGAAGATGCCTTATTCATCATCGTGCTCCCAGATCCTAGAACAGTGGCTGTTACACAATAAACACTCAGGCAGTGCTTCGGTTTTTATAAAATATATCTTTGGTCACAATAGGAACAGACATCGTTTATGTTTTTTAGTTAGAACCGGTATAGGTTTTGATAGTTTATTTTTAAATACAAATAATGAACCTAAAACTAATCATAATTCTCAATTAAATGGTGATGTCATTGGGAATTTTTTTCCTATAAAATACTATTGGTTCTTTATGTTTCTTTTTTTTTTTTTTTTGACAAAATGAACAGATATCTTTTTCTCATGCACTTATAGCTATTTATACTTTACTATCAAAAATAGATTTTTAAATTTCTGCTACATTCACATAATGTTCCTCCTCTCAGATTTAAACTCAGGTTATTAAATTGGTTATCCACATGACACATGATATGGCTGCATCACCAAAGCTTTAAAGTAAATTTTTGAATGTGGGGAAGTTATTGCTCTGATATCTTTTTCTCATGCACTTATAGCTATTTATACTTTACTATCAAAAATAGATTTTTAAATTTCTGCTACATTCACATAATGTTCCTCCTCTCAGATTTAAACTCAGGTTATTAAATTGGTTATCCACATGACACATGATATGGCTGCATCACCAAAGCTTTAAAGTAAATTTTTGAATGTGGGGAAGTTATTGCTCTGCCTCTGCCTGGGGACTATTATAGAAACATCTCTTCCCAAATACAAAAATGATTAATCTTATTTTGATTTTAACTTCTGCATGCCTATCAGAGAGAACACAGGCTAAATTCATGTAAACTGCTTTCCAAGATGAGTATTAGAGTTGAAAAGAACATTAAAGGATTGGCCTTTTCTTCAGAGCCCTATGCTCTTAAGGGGTAGAAACCTGAGGAGGCTGCTTGCTTATTTGTCATTTGTTTCAATTGACAGCTCTCTGTGAGTCCATCCTGTAGATGAATCAGTTCAAAGCAAATATACACTGCTTTAAAAAAAAGTTTAATAATATTTATTTATTAAAGATGCAAAATTGCATTGCAGATTTTGACTTAATCCAAATTTAAAGGAGTATTGGATTAGAATTTTCTAAATCTTTTGACTTAGATTTGGAAACTTAGTACCGTGACGGTTCCTGTCTTCAGCTCACCTCTTCAGATGTCTCATAATATCTATTTTCTCGACTGCCTTCAGATTATTTTTGTTACATTTTCATCCTCAATTTTACTTCTGTTAATTTTTTTCCAGTTGCCTAAAATCTTTTTTGAAGCAAAGGAGGCATAAACTTTAAATCATTTAAACTTCATAAATTAAGGTTGCTTTAGGTGAGGACTCTGGATATAGATGAAATTTGGTACTGGATGCTTCGAGTTGTCAGAGCTACTACATTGCATAGCTCCAAGAAGTATCATTCACTTCTCTATTGTTCACGTGCATAATACTCCCTGGAGTGGTCCAACATATTGTTACATCCCTTTGTGTGGAGGGCTATTTATGCTGTCCCTGTGAGCGAACAGAGATATCCCTGGCTATGGTTCTCCAAGTGATAATCGCATAAAAGCAGTTTCTAGAGACACAAGGAATTCCTGTCTGCAAAAGCATTATCGTTCTTACCTGAGCTGTGGTTTCCTGCTAACAAAGTGGGGCTCACAGAGCATCTTCCTAGTCTACTGGTGACCACGGGCGGCCCCGGTGTTCCATCCCATTCCTGAGCTTTGACAGGCTCTCTGGAAGACGCCCCGTGATGTCCTCTCTCCTTGCTGTCCAGCTTTGGTAGAGGTTCCGTGCTGTGGCTTCGTACTTTCAGCTCCTCTGTCGATTCTGTGTATTAATTAAAATTACATTTCATTAAACAAAAGTCAAACCTTACCCAGGTTTTATTTTTAAAATTAAAGAACAATTTTCTAAAATGCTTTCAATTTATTTTGGGGAATTTAGATGTGTGTTGATCATTACAATATTTAAATAAAACAGGGTCAGAGATCACACTTTTTTTTTTTGCGGAGTGCGGGTAATATCGTTGGGAAATAGTTTTCTCTTTGGAAAAGGAGAAGCTCAATGACTCTTGATCCTTCTTTGTTAACTCTTCCCTGTGCTCATCTTCAAGAAAACTTCTTAAAGAGCACTTTACACTCACTCTCTTTACTGTCTCATCTTTCCTCCACTCCACTACCCGCTGTGACAAGAATTCATTCCAGTCACTCTACTAAAACTGCTTTTGCTAAGATCGCCTAGTGCCTTCAAGATGGCAAATTCAGAAGACATTATTAAGCCATTTGACAACTCCTTGATTACTCTCTTATTTACAGCTTTAATTCTCTAGGCTTCAGTGATGGTCCATCTTCCTATGTTGTGTTCTATGTCTAACACCGTTTCTTTATCATCTGTATCTTCTCTTGCTTCATGGTTGTTAGCCACTGTTCTTCCCATTCTATCTTTCTGTGATTTTATCCTCCAAGAGTCAACTAGCAATTGAATGGTTGTTAGTGATTTCCAAATATTTTATCATAAGCCCAGACCATTCTCCAGAGCTTTAGACCAAAAAAAAAAAGAAAAGAAATCCAACTGCCTGCTGGATGAGTCCATCAAGATGCTCCATAGAAAATACAAATTTAACATTTCAGATACTGAATTGACACCATATTTCACTAAACTAATGGTTCCTCCTGTTCAGCCAACATCAAACTAAAAGATTCCTCTCCCTTTCTTTAACTACTACTACCCATTAGTCAGTAGATTCTGCAGAATTTATTTCTGAATATCTTGTTCTCCCTTCTGTTCTACTTTGTACCACATCTACCTCAACTTCTCTGGTTCAGCCTATAATCAGCACTCTTGAATTACTGCAACTTGTCTCCTTTATTGTGTCCTTGTCTCCCCAAAGTACAAGCTCCAAAGCATATGTTGCCAAAGTGATCTGCTTAAAATGCAAATACAATTGAAGAACTTCAGAGTTCCGGTCAAGATGGCAGAGTAGAAATAAAAAAAACAGGTTGGCTCTCAAATATTAAAAAAAGTTATTTTGACATAAAAAATGCAAATATGATCAATTATTATTTTAGGGGATGGATATGATAGTCATTGCGTAATGCATGCACAGAAGTGTTCAGAAACACATGAAATAAAGATGGTTTTAAGAGTACTATCTTCTTGCTGCCATGAGAACAGTGTTATTTCAGGAAATAGCCATCCTGTAATACACATAGAGAGGAGTTTAAATACAAAAATGAACAAACAAAATGTAATTTTACTCATAATGTACTCCTGACTAAAATTCTTCCAGAAGCTTCCTGTTATCCACAGAAATGTCTATGTGTCTTGTTATGAACCACAAGATTCTCCACCATCTCTCTCTTCTCTTCCTTTAGAAATTTTTCACTTCCTGCCTGAACAATATATTTAAGAAACATCACCAAGTTGGTTATAACTTCCTTCTCTCTACTCCACCTCTAGCAAAAACAGTGCTGTTTCGGACAGCTACTGCCTCTTACCTCGTCCGCTTTGAATAGACTTATAGCTCGTTTTTGCTCAGCTAATCTACTCAGTCCCAGGGTATATGGTCATCTCTGCACTGACATTGTCTTGTATTACCTTTCTTTATATTTGCTCTTCTCAAAAGGCTCTGAGTTCTTTAAAGGCAGGCTCTGAATTTTGTTTTTTGCTTCCCCCCACCCCCCGTTTGGTGCCTCCAGAACCCTTAGCATATTGCCCGATAGGCAATCAATTAATTAATTAATTAAATAGGTCTCTCAACTCTGCTGGCATCTTTCTGATGTGTGTAGGAAATACAACATTCCTAACAGAACAAGAGAATTGAGTATTATAAATTATGAAAGGAGCACAGAGCTAATACTATTTTTAAAAATCTGGTTACCTAACAGTCACGAGTTGTAAAATTCACCAGATTGAAATTTTAATTCGAGTAAGGAATCTTTGAGAAAAACTGTAGTGGCAAAAAAAAAAAAAAAAAAAAAAATCACAGAAATGATTCACTGAACCTGTATTTTGTTTTCTTTGAATGTAGGTTCAAATACTCATCATATTGCAGAATGACAATGCAAATGTCACACTTTGTTTCCCTATCACCTGCATCTGTGGGGCAGAGACAACAGTTTGTAATACCATAAGCAGCCCTATGTGAAAGGAGGATCTGAGAGTTCCAGCTTTGCAGCCTTAGCCATGGTCTTGGGTTGATGACCTATGCCACTGAGCACTTCATTACTCCTCTTGGAGTCTCATTTTCCTTAACTGCAAAATGTAGATAATGCCAGCCTTGCCTAACTCCCCCATTTTAATGTGAAGGCTCTAATAATATTCAACACTGGAAGATAGTTTGAAAACTAAAAAGTGTCACACATGTAAAAAGCCGTATTAACTTAAATAAATTCTAGTAATTTTTCTTTTACGGATTTCTTCTTTCTACATTTGGACTAGATAATCACTGAGAGACTGAATATACACATGGAAAATTTCCAGACCACATATAAAAACAGAACTCTAAACCTTTATCTAAAGTAACCAGCTCGGGAAGCCAACTTATACTCTTTTAAGTCCGACTTCAGGAATTCAGACCACTTTCTCTAGCAACCAGTCTGGGAGGTCAAACAATAACCTGTGTAACAAATGACCCAAAATAGCCAAGACTTTTGGCCCAAGTTCTAAAATAGGGCCAAACAGAGAAAGTAGACTATATACCCAAAATTAATCATGGAGGCTGCCTTGCTTCTAGTTAGCCTGCCTACAGCTTTCCCAGGCTGATAGCCTCCATTTGGGGCACATCCGAAGCTTTTTCCACCATATGCTTTCCCACTCTTCTCCCTGCCTTTTAGTCTCTGTCAGACATAAGTGGTAGTGGCTGACTGCCTGTTATATAGCAAGCTCTGAATTAATAGCCTTTGCCTGTTCTCATTTGTTTGGTCTTCATTTACTTCTACATTACGATAGCCCCTTCCAGCTCCAAGATGCGCTGCAGTTGTGTAAACACATGCCATGAGCATCCTTCTATGAAACAGAACTTAAACCAGGAGGTTAGCTTCATAACAACAACCTTAGAAAGGTTCCTGGTCTTTAAATGGTCCAGTATATGAGCCTAAGTCCCAGTTACACTGAAATCAAATATAAGAAGTCAAATATTTTACAAGAAATATACTCCAGCATAATGACTACAGCAAAACAATTTAACCAACACTTGCTTTTCAGTGCCCTAAGTCAAACGAGATAAAACAAGTATCAGAAAAGAATATCTAGATTATTTCCAAGCTGTTTATTTACAGTTTCAAAGAAAATGCGCTCTGGCTTCCAACTGTCTCAGCCTCAAATCCTAATGACCCATCTGTTTCACCTCACCTTCTCCTCCAGATTTTAAACAAACCATTGGGATGCTCGCTTTATTACTGACTTTTCTATTTCTTTCCATTACCATCATTAAACATTTATCTTCTTTTTTTTCTACACACACACACACACACACACACACACACACACACACACGTCTTCTACTATTGGAATTAAAACTAACCAAACTAAAAAAATGCTCAAACTTAACCTTGGGTCCAATATTTTTGCAGATTAGGACAACATTTTAAATATAAAAAGCTGAGGATGCGTGTCAAGGCACCTCCACCAACATCAGTTTCTTTGTTCTCATTCAAATTACTTGCATACGCATACCAGAGAAGTGTCACTTCAGTCTCAAACCTCAACTAAATAAAAGCCCAATGCAGCTCTGAAAACAAAAAAGGAGTCTTTTTTCTCTTCCTTTTTTGTTTTCAAATCCCAGAGGTTAGTCTTAGGTAAATTTTGGCAGATATATTTAGAAATACTTGAACAAAAGAATTGAAGAAACTGTGCTGCTTAGACTGGTACCTTAACATCGGCCTCCTAAATAAAATTCCGAGCTGAAAAATCTGTAAGAAAATCATTAATGTATTTATTGAGCATTTTCTTTGAGAATAAATCCGGTTTCCCATATAAATTCAAGAAAAGCTTCCCACACGATGCTTTTTCTAATTAAAATAAATGTGAAAATCTTTAAAACAGCTGTTGAAAAGAAACAAATGGAAAGTGGACAATTAGACAAGAAATATATACAGTAAGACACATTGAAAGCTCAAAGACATCTATTCAAAGGAATAAGGACACATTTATCCGCGTCCATATAATTCAATGTTTTCTTAAAGCCCGTTGAAAAAAATTGATATTAGTAACATAAATTTTTTCGAACAAGATCAATCTTAGATAACTGTGGTCAAGTTCTATGTGGAATCTAAGTTCTTTCAGTGTTCAGTTACAGGCCCAGTGTGTAGCCCAAGGGTCAACTACATAGAATGTGGTCATCCTCTATTCATAGAATAAATGACTGAATGTTAACTAGTCACCTAAAATCTGATTCATTTTGAAATCTGATCTTGAATGAAAATCTTGCTGTAAAAAAATACATGTATTAGTGCATTGCATTTGTCATTAATCTTGTGTGTTTTGCATATTATTGTCTTAAACTTTTAAAGCATTTAAATTGAAGAAGGATGAATAAGAATAAACGACCAGGAGCAATCCTTTCATGATCAAAATATTCTCTTTAGAATTCCAATCTGTCATACCTCATGCTGCTAATGCTGAAGTTCTTTCTCAAAGTTTTCCCATTTTTTTGCCTCTTCATGCTGTCTCTGTGTCTACATCTGTCTCTCTGGCTTCTAGCTCATCCTTCTTCTCCATTCCTGCCCTGGACCCTGAGGCATCTATAATTACTTGGCTCCCCAGGTCTACGGCTTTCATCACCAGGCCTGCCCCAAACACTGAGTTTTCTGAGAGTCTCTGATTCA